GGATATACCTATCCCTGGCTCTGTGGCCGTCGCTGTGACTGGCGCTCTCCAGCTGGCTGCGGCTGCCGAGCAGGCTGTAGCCCGAATCGTAGCTGTAGCTCTCGTCGCGGTTGTAGTTCCCATTCAAGATGTACCCCTTGTTGCGGCGGGCTTCCTTTGGCAAGTCACGGGTCCCCGCTAGCTGCAGCTCTCGTGCGGGCTGTAGCTTGCCGTCAGGTTGCCGATTTCTTCGCAACTGTGGCCAATGGCTATAGCCTTCCTTGCCGTTGCTCTCTTGGTGGCCGTGCGTCTTTTAGGCAATAGTGTCTGCGGCTGGTACGCACCGGTTGGCTGAACACCGCGAAAAAACCAGCCTCCAAGCAAGGTAACGGAAGCCACCCTGGTAGCTGCAGGACTTCCAGTTGTAGCTGCCGTCCTGGTTGTAGCCGTGCTGATTTTCCACACAGTTGTTGCCTGTGTACTCGCATCCGCTTTCTCAAGTTGTAGCTGTGTACTGCCTCAGTGTGTCTTGCTTGCCTTCGTACTCGCTCGGGCCATGGAGTCAGCAGAAGGCCGTGTTACTCTTGGGCCCCGTACTCGCCATTGTCGGGTGCCGTCTCTGGGTTCAGCTGGTTTACGTCGTCGTGCTGCTTGTGGCGCCGCTCCATGGAATGCCCTAACCGCGGGCCTTTTTTGTAATTCTTTCAACTCCATGATGTCAGCTGTGCCGGGCGCCGCATCCAGGGCGGTGCTCATCCACGGTACGCCGATGTGGTCCAGTTCTCGCCTGCTGCGTGAGATCTTGGCGGCAGGGACTGCTGCGAGGAGCCTGATCACCAGCTTCCAGCTTTCGGCGCCTGCGAAGCCACATGCCTCTGCAAGGGTATCGGGCTTGACCTGATACGTTTTCCATAAATCCTAGAGTATCTTGACGGCGTTGTCAGCAGCCAACGCCGCCGCCCTCGCTGCCGCCCTCCAGCTCGCAGAACTATAATATGGGAGTCCCCACGCGGTCTCCTCACGTGTCGCTATGTCCTCGCCCATGACCGCGCCCGAACAAGGAAAGTTGCTTGAGCCTAAAAGGCGACGAACCCTCCACCTCCTCCTTCTCCTCCTCCTCCCATCCTGCCTCATTCCTTCTCCCTTCTCCACTCCTTTTCCTTCTAGATAGCTCCTCCTTGTCGCACCCCGAGGCTGGTCGAAAGGGCGGGCCGGGCGTTCCGCCTGGTACTTCCTGACTACCTACCAGACCGCCCCAACCCAACGCGAAAACTCGAATTTGACCCGAATTTCGGGTTGGGGGGGGTACGGGCACCATGTGCTTTTTCAACGCTCCCCGACCCCCCCCCCAACTGGAAATGGACGGCAAATTGAGGCCTTCGGGTTGGGTTGGGGTGGTTTGGTGGGTGGTGGCTTCACCACTTGTGACCCTGGCGTTCGAAACACAGTGGCTTCAGATGGAGGGCGGGTCGTTTTCAAGATGTGGCTCCCGCCTCAGCGCCGCGCACATCACTTCCACAGAATCGCAAGGGCTTCACGGATCGGGGGGACGGGTCGTTCCCGAAGTGTGGCTCTCGCCCGAGCGCCGCGCACGGTCTTTCCAAAAAGCTGCAAGAGCTTCACGGATTGAGGGCGGCTCCTCTCCAAAATGTGCCTCCCGCCTGAGCGCCGCGCACAGTCTTGCTTCAAAGGTTAAAGCTTCACGGAGGGCAGTTCGTGTTCAGAATGTGGCTCGCGGCTTAGCGCCGCGCACACTCGTTTTGAACATTTGCAAGAGCTTCACGGACTAGGGGCAGCTCGTTTTCAAAATGTGGCTGTCGTCTTAGCGCCGCGCACATAAAGTTAACAACAACAAGAACAACAACGACAACGACGACAACAACAACAACAACAACAACAACAACAACAACAATCACTTTACCCGAACGCTCAGTGTTCTCACCAGTGCCAGGGTTTTCATGCGACGCCAGCCAATACCCCCACTTTGTGGGGGGGCAATGCAAGCTCTACCAAATATCCACACGACTCTTCGCCACCACCCACACCCAGCTTCCCGCCCTATGACGTTCGGACACTTCACTTCGTGGCCTGCGGACGACCGTGGCTACTACACTGGCGTGGAGTACACACCCACAGAAGTTGTTAAGCCTACGTTCGTACACCCACAGAAGTTGTTAAGCCTTGTTAACCCACAGAAGTTGTTAAGCCTTCCACAGAACATCTGTTGCATATGATGCATATGGTACATGATACACATGATACACATGATACGTACTCGCAAGGGAAGACGTGCAGGTGTTTTTCGAGGACCCAATGGTTTTTGGAGATTTCGGCGTGCGCGCGCAAAAAACGAATGTGTCCCGCATGGTATTATTTGACAGGGATGATGGCCCTGGCAGGTGCGCAACCGTTGTCGCAGAAGTTCGAAAAAGTTGCTCGCAAAAGCCCGTTTGACAGAAATGTTTAAAAAGTGTTGGGTTTCCTACGAATCCGCAAGAGCGCGCGGGATGAGATTTTGACATTTTTTTGTTGAAAAACCATTGGTTTTTTGATGTTTTTATGTTAAAATCGCTCCGAACACTAAGCTTTTGGAAGGATTTCGTCTTGCGCGCGCGAATGTCCACTTTACCTTATTTTTTGCAAGGGATTCTTGAAATTTGATTATATTAGAACAAGAAATGTCATTTTATAGTGTCTTTTGCAAGGGAAAGCGGGGGGGAACAAAACAACCGGATCTTGATCACATCGAATTACCTGAGGCTTCCTCACGAAAATGATGAAAATGTAGCTGCGGCCTAGGCGGCGCAGGGGGGGCGTGCACCAGGGGCCCCAACAATAATTATTCTTTAGAATTAATAATGTTCAACAACAACAACAACAACAACAACAACAACAACAACAACAACAACAACAACAACAACAACAACAACAACAGGAGCTTCACATACTGAGGGCGGCGGTTTCAAAATGTGGTTATCGCCTTAGCGCCGCGAACAGTCGTTCTAAGAAAACGCAAGTGCTTCACGGATTGAGGGCGGTTCCTTTTCAATGTGAGTCTCTCGCTTTAGCGCCGCGCACATTCGTTTCAAACAAGTTATGAGAGTTTCAATGGTTATCGTGGTTAACGTACAAGAAATGGTGTTTTGGAACGATTCAAGATGGTCAGGGCGCAGCAATTCTTTGAATTCGCGGAGTTGAAACCCCAGGAAGTATGTCCAGCACGATTCAGGACCGCCAAGACGTAACACTCAGGTTCACTCGTGGCGTTCAAGTCCTGAGAATGGTGCTTTGGTACGTTTCAAGATGCTCCCAACGGGGCAATTCCCTCGGTGAAAAGGGCCCCCTGTAGGGCCTCTGCAGAGGGATCTTGGAAGGAGGGTGTATTTCAACATCGTTGATGAGTCTTTGGTTTACACTGGTCCTCCTCCTCATCCTCCTCCTCCTCCTCCTCCCCCTTCTCCCTGTCCTCCCCGCCACTTCCGATGCCACCAGCCCAACCACTTGGCACGAAAGGAGCGGTTCATGACAGGCACGGGTCCTGAATCCCCCCAGGGCCTTCCCGCACCCCCAGCTCATCCTGAGCCCTTTTTCAAAGACCAGGAGCCCTGGGAGGGCCCCGAGTATGAAACGACTTCGTCAATTTTCTAGTTCAGTCCTTCCTTTACGTCATTGCTTTCTGGTCTTCTCTTCTCCTCTCCCCTCCTGCTGTTGCACTGCTGCTGACCGCTGCAGTTTAGGGCCATTGAGCCGCTCCGTGCAGGAAAAGAAACCGCTCCCTTCGCGAGCCCTTCCGGGCATCACCGCTGGGCTCTCGCGCCGGATGGTTTTCGCATGAAACATCCTCACCGAGAGCCCGAAAACGGCGAAAAACCTCTCGACACATTTCCCTCAGGACCCGTTCCCAAGCATCCTGCGATCTGACTTGATTCTATCTGCGGCCCAGAGCTCCCGACCTTTTTCCCCGGGGGTATTCCTGCGCCCCGTATCCACTTCTGAAGGCCCTGGGGCCCGATAACGGGCCCCAGAGGCGAATGAAAAGCGCCGCGATTGAAAAAAAACATATCACCAGAGGTCTGGGCGTGCTTCACGGTGACACCAGGTGACACCTGGGGTCCCAGGTGACACCTGGGGTCCCCAAAAAGTGTGGTGACGGACCGCGCGGTGACCTCGAAATCCCAAGAGACCTCACCGCGCGATCCGTCACCGCACGGTCTTGGGACCTCGGAGGTCCCAGTCGCTGGGAGAACGACCGGGTTCCCAAAACCGTGCGATGACCCCGAATCCCCACTGACTCAACACGCGGCGCGGTCACCACACCGGTTGGGGGGCCCCGGACCATGGCGAGCCACAGGTAGAGGCCTCCTAGATGGGGTCCGAGTAGATGGGGTCCGAGGATCGCGCCGCATCGGCGACGTCGGCCATGCACCGGCGCCGTCGGCGTGGAGAAAGTGGGCCTCCACATCAAGCCGCATCACCGATGCATCGGCGATGCGGCGCGATCCTCCCACCCCATCTACTCAGACCACATCTGGGAGGCCTAGAGTTAGGGTCCCGCCTGCAGGACCCGCCCAGAGACGGAGGAGGAGGAGGAGGAGGAGGAGGAGGAGGAGGAGGAGGGGGGAAGGGGAGGGGAGGAGGAGGAGGAGGAGGGGGAGAGGAGTTGGAGGAGGAGGAGGAGGAGGACGAGGAGGAGGAGGAGGAGGAGGACGGAGGAGGAGGGGAGGAGGGGAGGAGGAGGAGGAGGAGGAGGAGAGAGGAGGAGGAGGAGGCGGAGGGCAAGGGAAGGAGGAGGAGGAGGAGGAGGAGGAGGGAGGAGGAGGGGGAGGAGGGAGGCGGAGGAGGAGGAGGAGGAGAGGAGGAGGAGGAGAGGAGGAGGAGGAGGAGGAGAGAAGGAGGAGGAGGAGGAGGAGGAGGGGGAGGAGGAGGAGGAGGGGGAGGAGGAGGAGGGGTGAGAGGGGGGAAGAGAGGAGCCACGCTAGGGCCGACGAGCGCCGGCCGGGCCCCCGCTGGACCGGCGCCGCCTGCGCCGCCGCGGGCGGTCGGCGCTGCAAGCCGCGGGGGCGCCGCGGGCGATCCAAGCTGAGCGGAAGCGGACGGCGGAGTGCCCCCGGGGCCAGACGGCGACGACGGCTGGCGGCGGCCACCGGTGCCGATCGTCCTCCTCACTCCTCCTCCTCTCCCCCTCCTCCTCCCTCTCTCCCCTCTCCTCCTCCTCCTCCTCCCTCCTACATCCGTCCTCCTCCTCCTCATCCTCTCCTCCTCTCATCCCATCCTCCTCCTCCTCCCCCTCCTCCTCCTCCTCCTCCTCCTCCTCCTCCTCCTCCTCCTCCTCCTCCCTCCTCCTCCTCCATCCCCTTCCCTTGTGAATCACTCCTCCCTGTCGCAACCCGAGACGTGTCGGCAGGGCGGGGCCGGGCGCTTCGCCTGAGACTTCCTCGCAACTTACGATCCCTAAGCTGAAAATGTGCAAGAGTTCCACGGATCTTTGTTTTGTTCAGCGCACGTTTTTTGGCGAGGGGGGAGGCAGGAGGCAGGAGAGGGACGCGAACAACCAACGATCAGCTCATCACGTGTCACGTCGCCAGGCGTCGGTGCAAAGCCAGGGCTGCAAGACTGAGTGTGCACACAGCGGCCAAACGTTGTCTGGCGAACGTGGCCGAAACTCGGGCCACCGATTCGGAGGAGAGGGGGAAGGGAGAAGAGAGACGGGACAGGGAAGGCAGCGACACGGGATGGCTTTCAAAATGTGGGTCTCGCCTGAGCGGGAGCGCCACGGATGGAGAGCGGCTCCTTTCCAGTGTGGTCCTCGCCAGAGCGCAACGATTCGTATGGCTGACGCCCCGGAAATGGTGTTTTTTGGCACGATGTGGGAGTGTGAGGGCGCGACGGGCACGCTGCTTCGCGGTACTGGTGGCACAAAAATGGCACTCTGACACGATTCGGGATCGTCAGAACGCAACCGTAACTTTGATTCGCGGCTTTGGA